TTCCAAAAGAATGAGCTCACGTATGTCCTCCCTGGACGCAGTAGCGTCTGCGTAGAGTCTCCTGAAAAGCAACTGTGAGAGGGGAGAGAGCAGTTAAAGGTTTAGCAATGCACTATGATAGGCTTGTGGGAATAGAGCGAAGTGAATTGGTTTAGCTGGGAGTGGCGCCCCGATCACTGATTGAGAGGAGAGAGAGTAGTAAGCTGGGAATATGTGAACGAATGACTCAAGATGGTCTTCCTGGTTGAACTTGCGCTAAGCTTCATTCACTTCAATATCTTATATATAATAAACTGATTTCGTAGGAAGAGCTGCAGCGACACGGCGCTGAACGCCATCGTGGCTCGAGATGCGTCCGGGAGGCGGAGAGGAAGCTACGCTCTCCACGCCAATAGTGTGCGGAAAAGAGGCATGTCCATCTTTTTAACTTTGTTTATTGGGTTTTTTCAACAACATACAGTTATTCTATCAGAGCATGTATCAAAAGTAGGTAAACAAATCTTCACTTATAGAAAAATAGGTTGGAGTAATGTTAGAAAACTCTCCCTGGTCCCCGGCTTGAGTTTGAATCTCAGGATCCATGTATCTGTGATCCTCTCCAGAATGGAAGTAGTCATCACATACAGAGCATCAACTAGTTCCTGAACAGTGTCCTTCACATGCTGATATCCAAGAGAGGGAGTTACTCAGTCACAAGATGGAGGAATAGAAAGCAGTATTCAATGTTTACTTCAGATTAGCTCCACGTCAGAAATGAGCATGCTTGTCATATGTCTCTCTCCATAGAGGCTGAATCATCATGTTAATCACATAGCTATCATATGCCTCAAACAGTCCTGATGCTCTTCTAGGTAATCACACATCCTGTCATGTTCACAGCTACAGTTGATACATTTGTTATCAAGTTACTCTCAGATTGGAAGAGAACATTCAGGATTTTCCCAACAAGTAACGAAGTAAATTCTGCTTAACAGGCATGTCCATCCTGAGGGAAGTTGACGAGCAGTACCACGCCCTCCTGGAGAAATACGAGGAGTTGTTGGGGAAGTGTCGGCGCCACGAGGAGAGTCTGTGTCACGCCGGAGTCCAAACTTCTCGACCCGTCTCCAGAGATCCGTCCATGAAAGACTGCGCTCTCGGATCCACGCCGGCGCCGCCCCCCACCCCCACGCAGTCGCCCTCCACCCCCGAGGCCATGGAGAGCATCAGCAAGCAGGTGGACGCCGTGGATAAGAGGCTGGGACAAAACACGCCGGAGTACAAAGCGCTTTTTAAAGAGATCTTCTCCCGGATCCAGAAGACCAAGATGGACATCAAAGCTACCAAAGTTGCTAAGGCGAGCAAGTCTGGCAAATCGGGCAAATCTAGTAAACAGTAGAGGTTTAAAACACGTGGGGGCTCTAGAGAGGAGGGAAATGTGCTATATCAGTGTTTGTAGAGAGAGAGTTAAACTGCTAAACTTTAGTTCAGTTCCCTTAGAGGTAAAACAGAAGCACGCTGTTTCATCGTGAGAATTCGTAGCCTTCACGAGAATCTGATTAGCATGTATTACGTTTCAATCATATCTGAAATAAGTTCACCCTAGAGCTGGGTAATACCACATATATCACAAAACATTTTTAATCTCGATATTGTATCAGATAAAAAAGGGATGCCAGCTGTAGAACTTCAGGAAAGACAGCGAGACAGGAAACTTCATTTATAAAATGAAGACCGTGATTCGTTAGCACGTTAGCTTTTCGTGACTCGTTAGTCACATGACTTCCGTGTTACTCTCACAAGTTGTTCCTAAAAGCTAGTCACTTAGGGTTTGGTAACGTTTTCGAGTCAACAGTTACTCGAGTCGATCCTAGACCACAACATTCTTGTCTTACACGACAATACCGATGAAACATTGATATATTGCCCAGCCCTCGGTCACCCTCATATTCTGTCCTTCAGCGTTCTTACTCAATATTTACCGGCTATACTGCCTTACTCCTAACACCTATCACTAACACAATGCTATCTAATCAGCCTCTCTTTAGCCTCACAAGTGCACTAAATGTCAAAGCTTAGAAATGGATGAAAACATGGACATCTAATACTAACATGAACTGAGGTTTATTATAATGGACTCTACTAACAAGTGTATAGCTACAGTAAGAGAGATGAATCCTCTCAGCGCTGTCTGTCTCAAGAACTAACTCCAGTTGCTAATAATCCTCCTAAATATTACACATTTAAATTAGCCTTTGATGATTGCTCCTCTTGCACCGTTCTCTCTGTGACCTCACTGCTCACGTTCGTTGTGCCTCGCCCTTTAATGTAGAGATTTTGCGGAATAGATTTATTCCAGATGAGGAGATTGATATCCCTGACATGTCTTTAGAGCAAATATGAAGCTACAGCCAGTTAGCCTAGCTTAGCATTGTGGTGGGAGTGTATATATCAAATGTGGATATAGAATCAAACCCTTCAACAGATCTGCTTATTAAGAACATTTCCCAAGCTTAGCAAAGACATGAAAGCCGGTAAATACAGATAAACATGAGCAAATAACAATCACACAATGATATTATTAAAGTCAGTAAGGGAGTATAATATTGTTCTTTTGGAAGCTAGGAAACCGTTAGCCTGACTCCGTTGTGTGTTTGTATGCACCAGACTATTTTGTTTGCCAGTGGGGGGTAATCTTGAGAAACTAGCAAGAGTTTAGTAGATTTGAGAAGTATCTAAAGTATAAATCCATACCGATTTCCAAGCTAGCAGCACTAGCTACCAAAGTGGCTAACTCTAGCAGAAAAGCCGCAACACTAATTCTTATTGAGCAAAATGAGAACGTCCGGACGGACTTATTAAAACTTCCTCACGCAGCTTTAATTCGCTGTTAGCTTTGGACGGAGCTAGGCTACTTTAACCTTAGCATAGCGAGCTAACTGACTGCTAAGTATCTTTGTTGGCAAGACAGCAAATACGCGTATTTCCCCAAAATGTTAAACTACTTTAACATGCCAGGGGAAGTCAGATAAGAGGCATGCTAACTGGAAAGAAAGCCAGACAGGAAACTTAATTTACATTTGTGATATAAATACAGTTTCCTACCACTGTGCCAAAGTTACTTCAGCGCTTTAAGGTACAGAAAAGTGTTTCTTATTTATAGCAGTAATTGATATCTACAATACAATTGGACGGACTTACTAAATCTGCCTTTATTCGCTAGCTTTGGCCAGGCTAGTTGTTTACCCTGTCTGTAGCTAAGCAAGCTAACGTACTGATAGCTGTCTGTCGCTAAGCAAGCTAACGTACTGATAGCTGTCTGTCGCTAAGCAAGCTAACGTACTGATAGCTGTCTTTCGCTAAGCAAGCTAACGTACTGATAGCTGTCTTTAGACAAGCAAGCTAACGTACTGATAGCTATCTTTAGTGAAAGTGTGGTAGACCTATCGGCAAGAAAGCAAATAGGTGTATTTCTCAAAATGTTAAATTAGTTTAAGATGCCTTAGGAGATCAGATACAAAGGGACGGGATGCAGAGGTGTGTTTTTGTTTGTAGCAGTACGTGATATCTACAGGTTTTAGTTGACTTGTTTTATGAATGTTTAACTCGGATGATCCCACTGAGAAGCTGCTGTCTTGCAAAAGACAATCTCTGCAGATATTTCACTATTTCTTAAGGACGGATAATAAAACACCAATGTTGGGTTATCACCGCATGTTAGTGTTCCTAACACACGAGGGAATGGAATGGGATTATAAATGGACAGCATGAAGATTAAAACTAGAATTTGGACACTTTTTTAAGAAATTGGTCCAAAGATGATAACTGATATTATATTCCTTCTTAGCTTTTTATACAAGTGTTGTATTTCTCTTTAATTGAAGCTAAACAGACGCACTGTAACCAGTATAAGGCTTCACACAGGGCTTTGTGTAACACCTAACCAGTGGCGTGGCGTGGGGAAAAAATTAGGGGAAGCCAATAATACGTCCTTTCTTTTGGGGTGGGGGGTGTGGTGGTCAATGTAATAACGTAACCAGATGAGTGATTACAGCGCCCGGTATCATTTTACACACATTTGTATCATACAGTTGCAGGACTTACACACGCCTGTTATCTGACCGACAGGTCCGCACGCACTCTCCAGCCCAAACTCTAATAAGCATTCATTCACAAACTAAATCAGGAGACCTTTAACATTTTACGTTCGGTTCGCTCCTTTGTTCTTCGCTGTACACAGCTCCAGTTTGGGCATTGGCCTGTCATCAGATTGTATTTGTTGTTGCTGCTGCAGCGGAAGTTTAGTACAATTATTTTTGATTAAATACTCCAAATCTCCACCCTCCATAATTGCACTTGCTTCAGTTGCTTGCTACTTTCTAACGGCGGTGAGAGTGGTGCAGTGACGCTATCTATCTTCTATCGATAAGATTTATGATTAGAAAATTATAAAAGTAGAGTAGACATGTGGATATTATCCGACTGAACAAAACGTGCATTTACCTAACAGGTTCGTTTTCCACTGACCTTTTTTCGAGCTATTTTCCAAAATCCTATGGAGAAATCCCATTGCTATTTTGTCGAGGGAAACCGAGCGCAGCTTACTTCCGCTTTTTGGGACGCGTCACTGCACCACTAAGTTGATGCGATTTGATTGGATTGTGAGGCAAGGGAAGCCAGCCGCCTCTGGCTTCCCTTGGCATGGCCCTGACCAATCACAGGTTGGCAGGGGCATGACGTGAGCCTCATCTGATTGGTCAATCCCTCCATTTTCTTTCACCAAGGGAAGCCGGAAGCGGAAAATTATACATTGACGTCAATGGAGAAAGAAAAGTCATCTTTCGATCCCGTTTGAATTGTGCCACGAATGACACATATGATGTTTGTCAAATTAAAAAGAACATTTTTGCAAGTCAAAAAA